CAGATATGTTAAAATAGATAGAAAAATCACATCCTAAAAACTAGGCTAAGCTCTAAGTACTTAAAGATGATTTAGTTTAATGTTAATAAAACGTGCAACCTTAAGTATACTAAATTCAAGGTAGGTATTAAGCATATTAACAATGTGTTAGTCATTATAACTAATAATCATAGGCAGTAAGGTTGAATGATATGTATTAAATACCTCTTTAAAGATAAATGGTTTAATAATAACAATAGCAAAAGTAATAATAAGTTTGGAATAAACCTTAATAATTACCTCAATAAACAATCCAGTTATTACAAAACCCACAATAGCAAATCTATTAATAATAGCAGTAGTAATAGTAGTAATAATAACAATAGCTTATATAATAGCCATAATAATAACAATATTATAATAATCATTATTGAATATAATTATATAGTAATTTGATTGCTTAATAAGTTAAAAAGAAATTATCTTCAACTTAATATGATATCGATGCAAAAAAAGTTATTTTACAAAATATATATTTAATATATTTACAAATATTAGCAAAAATGAATATCTAAAAAAAAAATTTATTTTATCTTTTATTAAATATCCTTTTATTACATTTACTTTATGTTGTTAAATATGATTTAAATTTAGAAGATTATTTACAAATAAAAATTAATTTACAATTATTCAATGTTTATTTTTATTATTTTTGAAATTATAATAAATATAAATTATTAATTAATTATAATTCTATTATAAAATATATATATAAATTAGATTTTTTAATAAATAAATAAATAAAAAATATATTTCATAATAAGTGTCAGGCAAACCATGAAATTTTTTTTTGTATGGTATAATGCTATAATTAGAAATATTATAAATATTCCTAAAATTACAGAGCTAAAACAGAAAAATCTACTGATAAACATTATTTTTATAATCCTTAAGAACATTAACTACCAGATTTTTTTCAAATATTACTAAATAAATAACTGGCTGTCTTTAATTCCTACTATATTTTTAAGTATATGTTTTAAATAAAAATATTAAGTTTAAATTGTGAATGTGATACTCTTCATAAAACCAAATATATAAATTAATATTTGATAATTAATTAATTATTATATTTATTTGTTCTTTTTATCCATTTATTATTAATTAATTAAATAAATTTCATAAACTGCTATTCAATATTTTTCAAAAAAAAAAAAATGATATAATAGATTAAATATTACTATAGCTTAGAAGAAGTAATTATTAATTTTTTTACTAATATATTTTAAATTTATATTAATTAATAAAAAAAGTTTAAAAGCTCTTCACTTTTATCTCATTAGGTTCTCCATATTAATCTTCGGTATATTTAATTAAAAAATATTATTTTTATTATTATTAATATTTTTGTATATTTAATTTTAAATTGATTTAAATAAAAAATTTATACAAAAGAAATTATCATCATTATTTATTGATTTTTATTAAAACTTAAATTTTTTAGCTATTTTAACTTAATTTTAATTTCAATTTTTAATTATTTATTTATTATTCATTTTTTATTATTTGATATTTTTTCTTCATTTTTGCTATCAAAACTTACACTTAATAAAAGCTATTTATTTGTTTTACTTTATTATATTTT